ACCTTTTAAAATAAAGTTTTATTTTGTCTTATTTTGAATTCCTGCTTGATTCCTGCTTTTTTGTTGCTATGATTAGCCATTTGTGAAAAGCCTCCATGTGCAACTGAGGTTTTTTAAAAAGAAATGGTTAAAAAAATACATTTCAGTTCATTCTGTTTTTTTGTATTCAAAGTATAGTAAAAAAAAATACTGAATGGTTGATTTGAATGACTATACCAGTGCAATTGTAGCCAACATATGGCCAAAAACAACATTTGTTTTTGAAGGTTATTTGAACATACTGCAATATATATTGCATATATATATGTATTGTGATATGATATTCGATTTTCCTCACATCACCCAGCCCTACCTGATCCCTGACGCTCTTATCGGGGTCAACAGTAACAGCACACAGGGTGGGCAGGATACGGGCAGCAATCTCCGTTACACTGTAGTAGTTGTGTGTAGCCGCAAAGCCCAGCACGCCAGCAGAGCGTGACGCAGGGAACGGGTCCTTTGTGGCTCGAGAGAAGGCAGAAATCAGAACGCGCTGTCGAGTCTGTGAACAGCGAGACAATTAAATTCTTTACTGAGCACTGATCTCAGTCTTTCTGTTTTTTAAGTTTTACACAGTGATGCAGGTCTGCCTTACCCCAGCGTTGAGGTAGGAGGCGATTTTTCCCAGGCAGACGGTAGTGTTGCATCGGATTGGGCCTTGTTCGTCTCTAGCCTGGAGCCGGGCAAAGTGACGCATCAGTTCCTGGTTCAGGTTGGTCTCATTTAGCTTCGGAGCCAGCAGCAGCATAGACTAGCAGGGGGGGAGAGATCATATTTAGGACATGTCATGTGCTATATGCCCAAAGTATGAGATAACACCTGTTAGATTGTGCTTGTGTTTAAGTGTGAAAACTACCTTCACAGTCTGTTCCCTGATGGCAGGGTTTGTGTCTGTGAAGCCGTGAACAACATGAGGGAAAATCTGGGAATTCACTGCAGCCTCATTCAAATACTGAATGAACTGCTCCATCTGAGAAAGACAGAGTTAGGGTGAGTAAAAGATACATGGTTTTATTCTTTAATACAGAGATAAAAAACAGCCGGACAGGCATGTGATTAAACAACTGTTTGTTATGTTTTACTGTTCTTTTAACTAAGGTTTCTCTTTCCGTGCTGGAAATAACATACCATAAAATTAAATATGAACTCTATATTAAAAAAGTAAATTAAATAAGAACACCATCTCTGCAATATTCACCCTAATCATTGAAAAATCTCTGAAACTAGTCAATATTTAAAAAGAACAAAACTGTTTTGTGCAGAACTTGTTTTTAAAATCTTACACATAATTACCTCTGCAAGGAAAGCAAAAGAATATTCCACACCTGCTGCAGAAGTCGTATCCTCATAGCTCGGTCTGTGGAGGAGAACATTTTCACAATGACAGGGATGATTTTCTGTTGGTACTCTTCTGCTGATAGGAATTTTCCCACCTAGAAAAACAGAGGAAGCGAGAGAGATTGAAGAAAAAGAAGTGCACAGATATAGCTACAATCATGTCATTTTTCAACTAGTCTCGAGAATGATTTTACTGATGATTATTGTCTGCTTCACTGTCTGTTACTGATTAGGGTCTAAAGTCGCCTCGGGAGTTGGGATTTACCTTGAAGAGCGGTGTGAGGACGACAGCGCCTGCATTGCCAAACTCAAAGGCGGTGAGCAGCTGAGGCAGGACTTTGTGCTTACAGAAGTCTTCAGGGAAAGAATCGAGATTGTCACTCAGATCCTGGAAAAACTGCTGCTTCTCGGCTGGCTCCTTGATCTAGAAGGGATCATTTTAAAGAGATCATCTAATTTCTGCAATAGATGATTGGACTAAAGCGAGGCATGGTGTCCAAATTAAACTTGTTTAGCCAAATGACATCAATCTGTTCGGGATTTTGATTAATTTCAACCTCAGTTTTAATACTTCATGCTGTGACTTGACTAGAATGTTTTTATTGTAGTTGTAACACAAAAAAAAAGTCTGTGTAAGACCTGAATCTCTTCCAGGAAAAGGTTGCTCTCCACAAAGCTGCTACTCAGGAATCCCCCTGGGGCTCTACAGTTCTGGAGAAAGCGGGCAGGGTTTGGCCGAGTCCGGGGGTTGGCTCCAACCAGCTCACAGTAATGAGGAACCAGAACCTTGGGGATCTGTGAGAACAGGAAGAAAAAAAAAAACAATAAACTTGACTTATACCTTTTTTTTTTTATATATGACAAAAAAAAAAAAAATCTCTTCAGCTGTCAGTGAGCCTATGAAGCAACAGCACATTGGATTCCTTGCATTAAGGCACTAAGACTAAAGCTCGCAACGAGAGATCACATTTCCTTCATAAGAGCTTCTCCTTGCAGGCCCCATCATATCTTAAAGACCTCGTTAAGACACTATTCTGACAGCGCACTCAAAGCACACAGGATGCAGAGCCTTCAGCTATCAGGCCCCTCTCTCATAGAACATGCTCTCTACTTTAGGATTGGGCTTAAAACATAAATTCTTGAAAAAGCTTAAAATTAGGGTTGGATCAGGTGACCCGGAACTATCGCTTATTTATGCCGCTATAGGCTCAGACTGTTAGAGAGCTTCCCATGATGCACTGAGCACTTCTCCACTCCAGTCATGTTTGCAAGCCATTAACTTTTGTTTCCTCTTTTCCTGTGGTTTATCTTTTGTCCTGTTTTCACAGTTTTTTCTCCCTGGTGGCACCAAACGCGGTTTCATATTAGCTCATCAGATTCTTGGGTTTCTCTCCAGTTGATCTTAACCATGACATATGTATTATTTAAGGGCCCTGCTATCCCACTATATGTTCAGTTTATTGTTGCTGATTCTTTACATAAGCAGAATCATGCAATTTCCTTTAAACAACAACCATCATAATCTAAATATTCCTAAAAGCTGCATTTTTCTTAAATAAGAGCATGCACTCCAAGGAGCAAGGACAATATTTAATCATAAGGTTTTTGGATAAACAGCAATTGAAGACACAAACCTTTCCCAGGGAACGGAGGGAAGAAGTACGTGGCAGCGGCCCGTTGAACACCTCCCAAATCAGGCAACCTAGTCGCCACACCTCTCCTGCCCTGTAAAAATACACACAGGTCAATGCAAAAGGGTGCAGCCAAAGCGCACCAGGTAGTTTTTTCTCTAAATGTCACACTCACCATTTCTCTCCGCTGCTGTTAGACATCTCTGGTGGGTCATATTTCTCCATGTCTGGGTAAACTGCCTTTGGTGCAGGGAGCGAGACCCCACTTGGGTCTCCCTGCTCAGGGGCCACATGGTCGAGGGCTCCTAGCTTCCACTCTCCAGCTCGATCCACAAAAACAGCCCATATTCCCAGGTTGTTATGGAGCAGATGGCAGTCATTGATGAGAAAACTCAGAGCTTTCTGTAAGCAAACAGAGGAAGAGACGGTGAGAGACGACTAATAGAGGACAGCTGCCACAAACAGCTCGACTCTCCTGTCCTTACCACTATCTGGTGGAGTCCCCATGAGATCTCCAGTTCCCCAACACCACCCTTCTCTGCCCGTGCCTTCAGATGGACTGCCAGGGGTGTAACCTGCTCAGTAACCAGGTAGAGGCTCTTCTCTGTCTGTAACAACCACACCAAGCTCATCAATCAACTAAGAAAGGAAAAAAAAAATAAAAGCAAAACTATACTTCAAAATTATTCTATGTCACTGCATTAAACAGTAACTTGACATAGGAAAACAGCTTTTCCACACCGGTTTTTGCATTTATCCATCATATGCACAGCACATTTGTACATCACAGCATTTTTCCATCAGATCTCTATTAAAAACATGCTATAAATTAATACTAAATTTACTGAATATTGGAGAGTTCAGATCACAGATATTTTAGAAGAAAAAGCAATTACTATTGCTTTGCTGGATATTTGATTATGCACCAGTTCTTCAACATGCTCTATTTTTATCTACTGACTGTTTTTCCTCTGCTTGATTGTATAATTTTCCAACCTTGCCATTGTGTACTTTCATTGCCAGGTGTCTTTGTGAAAGATGTTTTCTCTCAAGAGACTCCCTGGTTAAATAAATGATTAGCTAATGCTGTATGGTTTGCTGGTCATATTCCTTGGATAGATTCTCCAGATGAAAGGGTAAAATCATATCCTTAGTTGAGCTAATCGTGATTAGTGTGTCAATTACACTCTCATTAAAAACCAAAGAGAAAGCTGTGTAATTGTCTGCTACTTCACTCACTATAACTACTATAAAACTACTACAAACCCACAGGAACCTATTCCCACTCACCTCTGTCTTAATGTTTAATATGCAGGGAAGAGCAGATGACAGAAATGAGACACAAAACATGGAATCTCAGCTCTAAATATCAAGAAAAGTGTGTTTAAAGCAAAGTGGTTTCTGTTAAATTTAAGTCACAATAAAATACATACCTCCAACCCATCAACATAGGCCAGGATGTTAGGGTGACGCAGGGTCTTCATACGCTTGAAGGCAGCCTTGGCGAGCTGGGTCTGCTGCTC